TGCTGTTCGAAGTGACCATATTTCATAATGGGGGGGGGGGGAGTAACCTCACATTATTTTATAACAGTGGTTCTTATCTTGTCATAGTTAAAATACTGTAAACTTAACTTAATCTTTAGTTGTTTTGAGCACTGCACGTGTAATATTTTTATAAACACATTTAACTTCGTGTTTGTAACATAAACGTTTATTATTTGTAAGATATATTGAAGATTCACACGATTATTTCCATATGTCACACTAGATCTTGAATATTTGATCTGTTATTATTAAATAACTTGCCTTATCAAATCATGTATTAATTATTATTTCATAGTGTTTATGGACGTACACTCTTTCAAATATGGCAGCATTGAGAAACAGTGATGTGCTAGTGATTGAATTTTGTAATTCTTTATTAGTTTTATTGTACAAGTTATATAAATATAGAGTCTGTGTTGTGTTTTTTACTTTAGAGCAAAGCTACACAATAGGATTTCTGCTCTCTGTCTACCGCAGAACATCGAACCCCGGATTTTAGCGTTGTAAGTCCGTAAATTCACCACTGATCCACAGAAAGACTAAATGTGGGCTAATAAAATATTTTTATTATTGCGCTGGATATTCATGCTATATATTTAACTCAAATAACTCTAAAACGTTTAATTAGATAGCTCAAAACTATATGTTTCTCCTTGAATTTGCCCCCAGTGGCACAGTGGTATGTCTTCGGACTTACAACACTAGAAACCGGGTTTCGATACTGGTGGTGGGCAGAGCACAGATAGCCCATTGTGTAGCTTTGTGCTTAACTTGAAACAAACAAACAATCCTTGAATTTTTTTCTTATAGGAAAGCCACATTGGGCTATCTGCTGTGTCATTCAGGTTTGTTTATATAAGTAAATCCAATTAACCAGGTTTTATGTAAATTAATTATTGTACCCTAATGTTAAAGAATTATGACAACTTAGGATGGAAATTATGATTAAACCAGCCATTAACTTCAAGCAGTTTATTTTTAATTGAGCTCGTATATGTTCCGGTAAGTTTGATTGGTTTTGAATTTCGCGCAAAGCTACACGAAGGCTATCTGTGATAGCCGTCTCTAATTTAGCAGTGAAAGACTAGAGGGAAGGCAGCTAGTCATCACCACTCACCGCCAACACTTGGGCTACTCTTTTACGTGGCCATTCCGAGTCTTTCCGATGGGTTATTCAGTCTTCTTTAATATATACCGAATATAGCATGATTAGAATACTATTATTATACACTCTTTTAATTCTTGAAAATCCCTAAAGGATTAAATAAAATATGCAATTTTAAAATACAATAGGCCTAATTCTAATGTCATATGACAAGTATCATTAGTTTGATGATTATTAGTGTACTATATATAGTCTAGTAAGTCTAAAGCACGCTATAAAGTTTATGAGAAAGTTTGAATATTGTTTGTAGCCAAAATAATATTGTTTTCAGAAACTAAATGGTGAATAAATCTAAATCACGACTGATAAAATAAATCCTGAATATGTTTTTTAATTGTACATATTTTATCAATAAAACAAAGTATCTATAGAGTCAACAATAAGAACAAAAGTTGACAGAAACACGATTTGAATAATAACGAAAATCATATTTTTCCAGATGCTGTATGGGGAGGGTTTCTTTTGACGGCAATGATAATGAATTTTGAAAATATCAAATGTTGTCAAGAAAATAGTGAAATGAAGAATATTTTACAATGTTCTTACTGTGGTTGGTATACCTGGACTGTGAGTGCGAGAGCGCATGGTTCGTGTTCCATTGGCGCAAAAACGTGCTCTGAACTTTGGAGCCATAGGTGCGATAAAGAGTGACGCCCTATTCTTACCATACAGTCAGACACAAGTAGCGCAATAGTTTTTAACAATCTTTCATCCCTTTAATCTATCAGCGAACAATTTGGGACGACTATGAGAAGATAACCATTGAGTAGATTTGCTAATACTAAAAATACGAAAATACTAAAAAAAAAGAAAAGAAGAATGAAAATTGACAGTTGCCGAAATATCAGAGAATTTTACAATGTGTTGGTTTCAACTGATTATTTCACTAATGTTTTAGTTCCTTGTCCTAGAGGCTTTAAGCTAACATAACTTCTATTTGTTGTAGTTTTAACAAAACAACAGCCATTGTATTGTGAATTCTGAGTTGGTGTGCCACTTAGTAGACCTATAAAATATTATACAGAGAGTTAGAGTTTAGTAAGTTATATTAAAATGGTTTTTAATATGCAAGTAAGCACGTTACGTGACAACTACAGCCAATATACAGTCGTGATAGAACGGCATGTATCAGAACTACATTCTGAAATTATTTGGTATTTCGTGAATAGTGTGATGCCACCAAAAGTTAATCGCTTTTGTAGGTAACAGCCTTTCCCGACTAAAGTTTTGAGACGGGGATGTCGCTTCTACTTAATGATACTGAAAAACAAAAATATGTGGATGAACTTGAGGCATGAGAATCATCCAGGAACAGATTTGTAACAAGTGATATCCTAGTCGTGATAAGCAAAGTGAGCTAACCTTGTTTGAATAGAGGTAGACACATTTTTTTAAAAGTTTATAGTTTATAGTCCATTATGTACAGTTATTATAATTTTTAACGCACTTTGAAGATGAGTCCTGGAAAGAAGATAGTTCCTTCCCTTTTTTCTAGAAGTTTGGAAAGATGAAGTATAGTGTATAAATATTTCCTGTTAAAACATCTTTACGTTATTTCCATACATATAACAACCTTGGGCAGATTAATTCACTCGAAAGAACATCTCAGCTCTATTGAGCGTATGAAAGCAATATCACGGGAGAACTCAAAGTCTTTGTGCAAGTACTTCGCTGATAAAGCACGTTTGTTTCTGATGTATTTCCACTTATTTAGTTTGCACTACACCAATAGCTAGTTATTAGGATTGTTGTAAATTTTTAGCCACTATAGTAAATTTTCGGTACACAACATTATTAATACTTTAACCAAAACAAATGTGTAGTTGCAATGGTTTGTGTGAGTTTCTATATTTTTCTCCGTACAGGTTCTTTTTGTTTCTATATAGAATAATTTAGTGTACAAAACTTGTTTCTACTTGATCGTTAAAACGTTCACCAGTTTCCTACATTACTTTTATATTTGACCTGTGGCTCTTAAACTTTTACAGTGAGTTAACCCTTCAAAATCGTTCACCCGTTTCCTACATTACTTTTATATTTGACCTGTGGCTCTTAAACTTTTACAGTGAGTTAACCCTTCAAAATCTTTCACCCGTTTCCTACATTACTTTTATATTTGACTTGTGGCTCTTAAACTTTTACAGTGAGTTAACCCTTTAAAATCCTTCACCCGTTTTCTACATTACTTTTATATTTGACTTGTGGCTCTTAAACTTTTACAGTGAGTTAACCCTTTAAAATCCTTCACCCGTTTTCTACATTACTTTTATATTTGACTTGTGGCTCTTAAACTTTTACAGTGAGTTAACCCTTTAAAATCGTTCACCCGTTTCCTACATTACTTTTATATTCGACCTGTGGCTCTTAAACTTTCACAGTGAGTTAACCCTTGATGCAATTTGCATTGGAGAAGAAGTTATAGACCGAGTTTATCCCCAATTTTCTGTTCTATCTTTCTTCTCAGTTCCGAAGTGTGAACGATAGCTCATAAATACTTTAAAATTTCATTAGATGGCAGAGTTTTATTTATTGTTAAAATCCATCACATCAGTTATTTTTACTTCAGCACAAAGCTGAACAATGGGCTATTTGCGTTCTGTCCGCCACAGGAAATCTAATGCCGGATTTTAGCGTTGTAAGTCCGTAAACATACCGCTGACCCATCGGGGAACCTTTCATTATCTTAATCTTGTACAGAATATGACAACATGCAGTTACTGTCTTCAGCCTACAACGTTTCATTTTTTTTCCTCTCAAGTATGGTTGCCTTCAATAAACAAATTTGCATGACGTGCCTTATATAAACGCATTTTCCCCATGAGTTTAAACAGTTGTCGATGTATGATACTTTCCAGAGTCCTGATGAAATAAATAGAAACAATTCTTTACATTTTGTTATAATAAAAGAAAAAATACTTTGTATTTGTATGATATTAGTAAACAATATTTTTTTTTATGTTTGCCCCGCACTGAGTTACTCGTACAGTAATCCTTGTACGATGAATTGTACTTTTCTTTAGCATATCATTGAAAGTTGCAAAAGGTCATGGAATATTTAAATGTTATGCCTTCCTGGTCATATTTTACTTAATTATTATAGAAAACATATAACAAATGAATCTTAAAAAGATATTAGTTATAATACCAGTAAATAAATAACAACTTGCTATTATAATAGAATTACCTTTAAATGTTGTTGCCAATTTAACTTGAACTAAATAAAATAAATGGAAATATACAAACTAAGATTAATCGCAGCGATAAAGACCAAATTATTTAATATTCATAAGCAAAATTATTAGCTTGAAAGAAGTATTGATTCTTTACTAAAATTAACTTTGTACATTCATAACTTATTTTTCTATAGAGATAACTGCCCTAAAGAACAATGCATGCTATTATTGTACGCCTAATAATGTTGATAATTAGGAGCTTTATACAGACATATGTATCATTATGTTCTGTTTGATAAGAAGGTGAGTCATGATAACTTGAATACTATGAAGGTCAGTAGTCAAGAGAAGTAGTCAACTTGAGTAGAACATAAGGTAAAATTTAGAAGCCATTTATATAGTCTCTATAACAAGAAGGCTTGTCTGAAAGAGTTGTCATAAGCTTGGGAAGATCAAAAATGAAATTTGAACTTTAGAGGTCCATTGTACATAACGCAATTTAAGAAGTCATCGTACGAATGATATTCTTCTTATGATTTTCCAAGTCAGTAGTTCATGTAAAAGATTCCCATTAACCACACATCCCTTTATTTGTATATTTCAATTTTATTCTTAGAGAGGTACGAGAAAGTGCTGACTTAAAATGGAAAGATATTTTTTTCCGAAATTGGTAAAGACGCAAAAATACAATATCTTATTGTAAAATAATTAATTGGTGTATAATATAGTGTTACGCACATTCGACTCTGTTGTGAGGTGCTTAAAACAGAAACAATAGGTCATTAAAAGCCATTAATAATCAATTTTTAATTATTAGTGTCTTAGAATATCACTTAATACTGAAACACGGAACAAGACTTAGATGATAACATGAATTTCAAGCACGTGCTGCCTTCAGTGTATCACCAGTAAGGGCCAAAAAGATGTCCAACTTTCCATTTCCCAAGACGATGTCTGGGAAAGTATGAATTGGAAGGGCTAGATACTTCGTCATCATTTGGTTTACTTTGAATGACCCTTATCTCGGGATTCTCGTCTTCTAGAGAATACGTGGTACGCATTTTCAGAGGTTCACCGCCAGGACCCCATCCTCGAGAATAGAAGAGTTTCTTAACCGGAAGAGTGTTAGTTTGCTCTTGGTGAGTCTTGCAAGTCTTCAGGTCGCAAAAGTTTCCATTATGATTGAAGTTAGACAAGAAGAGTCTATTTAATTCAGCAGATTGCGAGTTTTCATCATAATGGTCCAACCGTTGTTTCTCTCTTAGTCTTGTGAACAGAGGAAAGTAAGTTATTTTCTCGTTTTCTGTTATTTTCTTCTTATTATGAGGATTTTTTGACTCTTGCACCATTTCATTTTGTTGAGGAAACTCCAAATCATAAACTTTGATCGTTTTTTTTTCAAGTCTAGCAGCACTCATAGAATTATATTTAGGGAAATTAGTGGTCCTTTTTACATTCCGTGGCGAGTCGTGCTTTCTAACTATGTTCTCTGTGGGTCCACCAATCAAATCTTCACATAAGTATTTTACTAAGGTATTTTTTTTACCAAGAAGGTCCGACACAGCATGATCTAGTCCAAAAAGATAAATTCCACTACCGATATCAAATCCCATAGAATGACGGTTCTTATAATTAGTGTTACTTTGTAGAGCTGTGGCCATGAAGGAGGGGGTAGTTTGTTGCTCATTTGGTTGGATATGAGAGAGTGCGTTTAGCACTTTGTTAGACAGTTCCTGCATTTTATAGGAGCGAAGGTTGCCACTTTTTTTAAGTCGAGTGTTTTCCCTTGTGCCAAGCAAAGTATACGGCGAAGAAACAATAGGAGAAAAACCAGATAGTTTTCCAGATCCTTTAACTGAACCAAGGCCTTCTGAAAGAACGGTTATGTCAAGATCAAAATGCTTTAAATTCTTACTCATTTTGCCAGCTGGACCAGAATTTTTCCCTGCTGAAGGTTGATTTAAAGCAGTTAAATCACTATTAATTAATCCTTCGGTTATGTGTCGTTTGTTTACTTGGTAAGATCTTTTCTTATGTTGAACTGTCGAGAACCAATTATGACCGACATGTCGGTTGACCGAGTTATCCAACAGCAGGCCTAAGTCATTGTCGCCATTTGATTTATTTGTATTATCTATACCGCTTTCATAGAAGGAATGAGAATTGTTGGATACTCGTGGTAAGCAGCAGCATAAACACATAATATGAAAGAGAACCATATATTTTCTCATTTTCCCCTCTCTGTGGCTACCTAAATGTAAAAAGTTGAAAAATTATTAAACTTTAATAATATATCATATATAAAGAGATTCAATTTCACCAAAGTTAAGACTTGAATAAAAATTCAGTTAAAAGAATTGGAAGGAAAAAAATAACTAGTTATAAAACTGTAGATTATTTTTCTTTCTTTCTTCATTGTTTTGTTAAACGTCTTTTTTTCATATTAGCCATGAAACTTTATTTATTATGTAACAATGCAAAAAGAAATTAATCTGAGCAGATGAAAAGTCACAAATGACAAATGAAATAAAACGGTGCTTTTAATTTCGAACTTATAGCAAATAGGATATAAATAATCTATGAAGAAAATTTAAAAATGGGCGAAAGTTTCAGAAAAATGAAAGGTAAATCAAAATTATAATGAAAGTTCAGATCAAAACTTCGGGTGAAATTTGTGACGAATAATCCAGACCAATTCATTTTATTTTGGATCCCGGCATAGCCAGGTGGTTAGGGCGCTCGATTCGCAATCTGTGGGTCGCAGGTTCGAATTCCCATCTCACCAAACATGCTCGCCCTTTCAGCCGTGGGGGCATTATAGTGTGACGGTCAATCCCACTATTATGGGTAAAAGAGTAGCCCAAGAGTTGGCGGTGGGTGGTGATGACTAGCTGCCTTCCCTCTAGTCTTTCACTGATAGATTAAGGACGGCTAGCGCAGATAGCCCTCGTGTAGCTTTGCACGAAATTCAAACCAAACCATTTATTTTTGGGAATTAGAGAATATCTAATTACTTTATAATTATTTCAGAGTCATCTGTAGCTAATACAATCCCGTAATGATTTACCTAAAGTTTAGTAGTATCTAAAATAATTTCATGTGAAATATCTGATCAATGATGAACATACTGATTTCCAACCCTATAATTGTATTTATGAGATACCAGCCAGGATCTATACCTTCATGGCATAAAACGCAATTCCTACAACAGAAATCTTTCAATTTGGAATATATGATAATGTTAATATATAACGTCTGGGATAGATACAGCCTTCAATCTCTCTAAATAGACGTTTAGTTTGAGATACACTCGCATACACATATATATAGTAAGATGACCAGGGCAATGGTAATTTAAATCGTCCTGGTTGATCATTAGACACTTAAATAATGCTAATCACGATAAAAAAGTAAAACTATATAAAATAAATGAAGCTAAATCGTTAGTATAATTCTAATAAGCTTTTATGAGATATAAATTCATTAAATCAGCAATGACTAATAGTCAATTAATCTCGTGAAATTATAGTTAACCGAAAACGAGAAGGACATTATCTTCAAATAATTAATGGAAAATATATATTTATTTACATATAATAATCCAGGAAAATTAAAATAAGAACTGATGCTTCAATCTAGAATTCATTAAATATTACGCAAAGTATTTTGAAGCCACTTCGTTTCACAAGCATATAAGATAATTCTATAGATCCGTTATACCACTCCGCTTTAGTATTAAATGTCATGTAACTACTGGTTATTGAAATAATTATGTTTTATTCTTACAATATCTGGAATCCAAATTAGCTGTTATACAAAGCATAGTCCCGTAAAGAATGGATGCTATTAGGATCGATCCATTTTCTAAGCGTCTGTTATCGAACTTATGAATAGCCTTTTGATGTTTATTCTACGAATCACAAACCATCTGGATTTTGAAATGTTTATTGCTTATACGATCGCATCCAACTGTTTACGAGTTGTCAGAAAAACGAGTTTTGAAATGAGCTACAAAAAATTTTCTTTTTCATAGTTTCTGAATGTATTTGCTGATGAAATAAAATAAAATTATAAATACTGTACTGTTCCTCTGTCGGCAGTATTCAAATGTATTTTGTCTTGCAATTAAACCATATTCGGATTCGCTCCTGCAGATTAGAAATTTTGGAAAAAGAAAAATAAGCGAGCATTGGGTTCGGATAAGGAAGAGAAGCCGACTTCGAGTTGGTTTTGAATTGAAATGACTTAGAATTAATTTCTTTCTTACAATAATTACCTCAACGATTACAAGAAACTACTTCAACTTTGAACTCCACTCTAACTTATTAACGTGTTAATAATGCTTGGAGACGGCTTGAATGGGTAATGAAGAAAACATTTAATATAAGCTTAACATAAGACCAAATCTACAACGTTTCGACAAGGTTTTGTCATTAACGTGTTGTCTTACTGCATACGTTCCTGCAAGAATGTCTTACATTTCCTGCTCATTCAGAAGCAGAAATGATCATCCAGGTGTTGATTAAAATTGAATCCTAAATCCTACTATTACAGTATAACACCAAACCATATTCTAAATTGACTTAAATGTGTTTATACCGTTTTATAAGACAACATGACTACGTTTAACATATCTTACATAACAACAGAGTTTCAACACTAGTTGTTAACTGTAAGAAACTGTGTTATATGCCGACGGTAAGCTTCAAAGGAGTAACTGATTGCACTAATTAAAAACACAAATACATAATATTCTACATAATATCCTACATAAGCTATTCGCCAACTTGCACGAGAGAAAACAAGAGGAACAAACGATAATCGAACGCGAGAAACCATTAAAAAGCTTGTTAACTGAAACTTACTGACCAAAAGAAGAAACACAAACAGGTCTTTCTTCAAGCAAGTGGTTCTTTAAGCACTAGTAAAGCTACATTAGTTAAGTTTCAACGGAGTACTAGACGATCTAGACCGAACTAAAAGAGAATTTTACAAATCCATGTTTGTAACCCAAATTTAGATGTTTGAATTTTGAAAAGTTATTGAAAAGTAACTCTCCAGAAAACCTAAGAACAGAGAATTGGCCACTGTTCAATGTTACTAGATTTTTTCAATGTTTCTAATCTTTTAAAGAAAGCGACGGTTTCGCAGCAAAAATTTAAAAAATAAATAAAAGAAGAAACAAAACTACTGTAGTCTTTTCTGTTTACATAGTTTGTTCGTTATGCATAAACTCTTCATTCTTATTTCTTGTGTCCAGAAATAAAAATGGCAATTTTTTGCTTTATCCTCAACATTATACACTTCTAGAACAAGTCTGCAAAATTTCATTCACCAGCTTTGCCTAACTTTGATTTTATAGCCACGTGTCAGACAGTTTCAAAATTTCTAGTCTCCCTAATCTATGCCTAGCAAAATAATAATAATAATTCTTAGTGGTATGAATGTGAAGAGTTTGACTGTCCAAGATGTAATATGTGTTTTAAAATGCCTATCAGAGTAATCCATATTTCGCAATTAGTCACCAGTGAGGGAAATAACTCCAAATATATAAGCACACCAAGTGCTGGACTGACCTCTTCTAATTCGAGCACCTAGCAACCACAGCCAGCGGATCCTTAATTCATCCCTCGCAAATGTTACGATATATACTAATGCTAGTGCTAGCGGCATGGGGCAATTTATTCAATTTGCAACGACTTGGCTGAAGCAATCACCTACTTCTCTTCAGTTATTAATAAATATTTAATCTTGAAAGTACGCCATATCAGCTGTGAGTATGAAAGATCATCGATTAATAAAGCTAAGAAAAACCCTCATACTGTAACTCTCGTTTCCAGCGTTCATTTGGCATAGCTCAGAACGAAGCTTTCATCTAGTTTCATTGCTACTTCCAGATTTTTCTTACACGTTGATATCCTTAAAGGTAACACACTTTCCAATCCCATGTAATACATTTGATAACGTGTGTAATATTAGCAATATCATGATCTGACCTTTAAAAGTCTAGTTAAACAATAATGGTTACCTGTAAGTGTCTTGAGTTGGTGTAACCATAAAAATGAGTGAAATCCATCCAAAAACGCTTGACAGAGATAAAAGAGCTAAGACTCTGGTTTAGCTCAAACAATAGGTGATGTTTCATAAGCACAGTAAAATAACTCAGCTTGGCATTACTTACATTAAGTCATTTTACTGATGTACTGTAAGACTCAACTTTACGTTCAGTTTGGCTCCTAATTTAACTAAGAATCATCACTGAGTTACACTGCAGAAGATATGATGTGGTAAATTATAATCTAAGCAAAATGTAAATTCAGATTTATAGCACATGAATAAAATGATGCAATATGAGTAATGTCAAGTTGCGTTACTTAACTGTGTTTTTAAGATATTACCTATTGTTTGAGCTAAAGTATAATGTAGACCTTTTTTTTTTGTACCAAGCGTTTTTGGATGGATTTATACTTTCCGATTGATCCAATAATATACATGTATAGTTCTAACTGTAGCAAACAGCACTTTCCACTAGTTAATTCGTTTTCATTCTAGTCACTTAGCCATATCTATGTTTCTTAACTTTGTGATGATTAATTAATGGTATAGATGTCGAGATGCCTTCGAGTAAGTTTTATTAAAACACATTACAACATGTAAATAGTACCTCATCGTCGGTAACCCTAACAGAAAGCTCTTGACTGAACCTCACCTATATGATTTAATAGTTTTTTCTTCCTGTGATTACTCATTAATCCTCACTTTCAAGTGTCATTCATCTTTCAATTCACGAAGAAATCGCAAGAAAAGTTCAGAAACGAATGCTTATTTATTCAATTATTCTATGGTCAACTGTTGGTCTTCCTCAATCGTCTTGGCTATAGACTCATGGGTTCACCTTTTGTTACTGAAAAATCATGTTTCTGAGTGTGAGAGTTTTGAATTCCCTTTCAGACGAGTATAGGTTCATTAGGGGATTCCTTGGCCTTCACCCAAAGGTACCCGGTTTTTCACCATCCCTTTGCAAAATTAACCACTAGCTTTATGAAATTTAAAATAATCTAAAGTCCCTTAAAAAGATAACGGTTAATATCATGGAGTAACAACTTTAACGCTGTCTGACCTATTCCAGAATTAAACTCTCTTTGTAAACTTTGCTACTTTAAGACACATACACTGAAAAAAAATATATATATACACAAATGTCCTTCAGCCTACAATAAGAACTATGTCTTTCGCCTCTAAAAATATCGCAGTGACAAATATGGAAAAACCGAGAATTGGATCCTATCACAAATAGAATTTTACTTCTAGACTTAACTATACGTACATTTACGTTATTCTATAAATCCAAGAGATTATCCTTTAATTGCAATAACAGTGAAAACGTAAAATACAAGATTAAAATTCAGTTTGAGGAACGTTCTGATTCAAGGCCATAACCAGGATTTCCGTTTGGATTGGGAAGGGGGGGATATATTTATAAAAATACGCTCGCTCCCCGAAGAAAATCGTTACAACCCCCCAGCACTTTATTTCATTTATGACTAACATTTTGAGTATTTTTCCTTTCCGGAAGAATGAACTAGGAGATTTTTTAACAAACTCTATAGTAAAACCCCATTACAAAAATACTTCAAAATACAATAAAGCAATATAGTAAAATATAATACTTGAAAATTATATATATGCGAGATAAAATAAATATATAATAGTTATGTAAATAATATAAATACGGAATGCTTTAGAAAAGAAATTGTATTTGCTCTCCCTTCTTTCTTTCTCCTGTTCGGCCCTATTCCGATTCCCATAACGTACTATTTAACTTATAATTCTAATTGTGAGCTTTTTTTAACCTATTCATTTTAATCTGTTCAAAATGTATAACATAATAATCATTTTTTGACTAGAGATCTTTGCAAATTCTGCTTGTTGTTTCATTTATACAGGAAACATTCGCAAGTAATCTTTCAGTCATTAATTCAATACGAAAATGGGAAACTTGTACCACATAAGAAAAGAAAAGAAGAAAATAATTTGGTTTGGTGTGCGAAAGTTATCTTTATCTTAATTTTTAGCACATGCGCGTATCTCATGAATTACATTAGTTTTTCTCACTTTCATTTCAGAAAGCTATGAAATAAATTTTGAAACTGCATTAGCAAAAAGACAGAAAATCACAACCCTAAACATTTTTATTGGGAAAAAACGATTTCCTCCCTTTGAGGCTAATAAACAAGGACAAACGACCTATACGTTTATGAACCAATGTAATTTAACTTTGTTAAGAAACTATAAATTCTACATGATAACTACTTTTGAGCCAGTAAACAAGTTTTTATCACATTCATTTATATTCACATAAACTATATATATATATATATATA